GGAAAGGTGGTGTCACCATGGTCACTTTCAAAGTCGATTTTGACCGCATGCAAAGTTTAGAAGAAGCTATCAGAACTAATTGTAGTAGGGATATTGTGTTTTTGAAGAACTGAAGTGTTCTTGTGAGCTCACCCGCCAATGTAGATAAATGCACTGTATTTAGAACAAGCTACCAGAACTTTTTTTTCAGAACTATGCACTATTGAAATAACTACATGATTAATAGGAAAAATTGAAAGTAATAATCCCAACTATTGCCGGTCCGCTAACAATAATCTCAACTATTGATTATTTTTGTATAATCTCAACTATATGGACCGTCCGCCAATAATGGTCCATGATCGCATATTTCCTGCTCTAACAAGTGAACTTTTAATAGAAATTAAACGTAAAAATTAAAATTTGGGATTATTTATAAGGATTACCTGCTATATCTCTTTAGAAACTATAGAAATTTATTTATCTTTGGTCACGTCGGACCACTATTGGCAGAAGCTCTATAAAGTTGGGATTATTTTGAAATAATCGATAATTGAGATTATTACTATATCCTGATTAATATCACTCTTTCATATTATTCAATCATGAGTTAGCATAGTCTCTTACAATTATTCAAAACTTAAATAGAACCTTTTTTGTAATTAATGTAAAATACGTCACCTTATTAATTCTAGTCATTGACTAGAAATATGATTGGACGAGGATTAAAAGTTCTCATTCATAAATAAATAGATTCTCTTTTTAAAAACGAGTTCTCACTACACCCCCTCCTATAATAATAAAAAGAATCAAGACTCACAAAAACACATACATACATATATAAGTGAGAATAATACTTCTTGTGTGAATATGCGAACAATCCACATGCAGTCCACACGTTTTGAAGTTCATGAATAAGAAAATATGGTGACATTTTTGTAAAATAATTGATATCATGAAGTGTGCATTATCACAAAGAAAAGTGTGCACTATCATGAAAAAATATGCACCTTTTTGTACCATTCTCATAGTCTCACCGGAGCGAGGACCATATATATAAGAACAATTCAAAGCAAAATGCATTTGTTCCACTTTGAGAGATCAATATTTTTATACAATATGTATACAAGTATCCCACTTGTTCTAATGGGATGTAGCATGAGCATCTTTTATATTCAAATGAATATGGTAATGAATGAAAATGAGCAGAAAATTTTTCTAAGTGAAATGACCACTCTTTAATTATGAAATGAGAAAATTTTAAACAAAATTACCAAAACACCGAGATATATAATGGGATCTGGAAGTCTAATAAAATGTGTCATTTTTATACTGTATGATACAGACTACTTTTTACTTAAACCATGCATATTTTAGATCATATTTATTATTTATTTATTATATTTCTTCTTCCTGTAGTACTAAAAACGGTTTAAACCACTCATTAATGAGATGACATTTCACCTACATTATGTGCGTTACGTTTGTTTTTCCATAGAGTAAATCCAGGAATACTAAAGACGACTTTGTTTGAATTTGGTCTGTCCCTTTATGAATGAAACTAATGTAATTTCTTCTGTATTTATTGTAATGGGAGAGCTGATATCATACTTCCCATTTCCCCAACTAAACTTAAAATGCTCACTACACACTAAAGAGAGTAATAATCCAAGACGGGTGATAATTAATGATTTTAATTAACTTAATTGGCATTCAAAGTAAACTTTGATGCTTAAAACTTGCAGGTCAAATAAACTGACAGAATCCCCAGCTTAATTAGTCATATGGTTTACCTCAGCATCATTTATTTCACCTGCTACCAAATTTACAGGCATTGACTTTCTTCTAATAAATCAACTATGTATTGTTGAAGGGTGTCATTATATTTCTTCCTCCCTGACTATAAATTGTGGCTTGCTTGATAAGAAGATCATATGCTCTAAACCTGCATTTACCTCCTTGCAAGCTGTTAATCTTTATTGAGTATAATCTCAATCATTTTCTAAGGGGTTAGATGATGAAGGCCAACATGCCATTGGTTCTCCAAGCACTCTTGTGTTTATCTCTAATGTGTGCTTGTCCTTGTCCTGTCCTTGGGGTTCGAATACCGAAAAGTGAGTACATACGCCTAAGTCTGGTATACCAAGAGTCTTACTATTTTTACATTTCATTATTTCGGGCAGGCCATTTATGGCCTGTTTAGTTTACTTATTCACCATTTCAAGTATGTTCTTCATCTTGGTTTGGACTGAAGGGCATATTGAACTATTTGTCTATGGTATAAAATAATAAGCCGACATATACAATCATGTGGTTCTCCTCCCGCGTATATTAATTCATGGAAACCCAAGTTTTACTACTCTTTTAGTCCCTCACACCTGCACACACAATTAGCTAGATATAACTGTTTTTCATGCTTGTTTGTTTGTTTGTGCAGCAGCGGAAAGTAACAGCGATGCATCAAAAGTTGAGGCAGTGGGCATCAATGACAGCAAACCTGCAAATCATGGCTTCTCGTGGGGCATTAACGGGGACACGAATCATACGGGCACTGGTAACAGCATCAGCTGGCAATATAAAGGGATCCATGGTGTGGGATGGAGCACAAGTAGCGGGGCGTGCAAGATGGGCTGCTGTGCCCCCTTTGCAGGACACTGTAAATATTGCTGCCATAGCGCTGCAGAAGCCGAAGCTTACAAACAGATCATTACTTCCAAAAATGGAGCCAATTAAGCCCATAGCTTAATAAATCATTAGGGGCATGTATGTTTAATTTCTAGCTCTATATGCATTTCCCATCATGAACCAAATTTGTGGTGGTTGAAGTAATTCTGTTAATTATGATGTTGGAAACAAAGTGATTTTCATACCAAATGTGGTAGCTTGCTTGCTTAATAAACGACTATATTTTTGGTTCTTTATGCACTTCAATTCCCTGCTAGCTAGTTCTTTATATCCCAAAACCATTTTCATGGATCAAGCAATACATCAAATATTTAGCCAGGAAGTCTAGAGGAGATCAAATACTGGTTGAGTTTATTTAGAACAAAGAGTCAGTACCATAACTCATATCAACATTCAACATTCCACAATCTTAAAATGTAAGTTCACTGTCAATAATCTAAAAAATAAGGAGCAAAATGTATCAACATAAGACCACCGGTATGATTGAGAACTATTCATCAAAATCTAAAATATCATAGATTTTTATTATTTTTATTTTTATTAATTCTATTAAAAGTTTTTTATGATTTTTCCTTCATACGGAGTATAAGTTTATTAGTTTAATAAGATTAAATAATACTCCCTCCGTATTTAAATGATCACTACATTAGTTTTGACACAATATTTAAGGACAAATAGTAGGGGTAATGAATAAGCATGTGAGAAGGACAAATAGCGTATAAAAAGCGTATAAAAAGCATGTGAGAAGGTGGAAAGTTGGAAAGAGAAGATAAAAAATAGAAAAAGTAAGGATAATTGGATATTTTAGAGGTAAAACTTACCAAAAGAGGCAAATGTAGCAAAATTTTAAATACATTTCAAATAGGAACCTGTAGCAAACTTTTAAATACGGATGTTGTATTCAATTAAATCAATCATCATTTTCATCATCATTTTCATTTACCCCAATGCCGCCAAGGCTCCCACCTACGGTGGGGTAGGGGGGGTCGGATGTACGCAGTCTTATCCCTGTACTAAAGCACAGAGAGACTGTTTTCGGATGACCCATAGTGAAAATCTTGTCCCAAATTGCATGGACTGACTGCTGCTTCATAACAAAGAACAGTTTAGTGAGCCATTTTGCTTTATTCCATCATAACACGTTTTGTTTTACATCCCTGCAATAAATATTACAATTTAGGTTTAAAATGTTTTTAGTTCTTGCAAATATAACACGTTTTGTTTTACATCCCTGCAATTTTTCTTCGCCCTCGCAAATTATGTTGGTTTTCTTTTTAGTCCATCACCGATGATAACAACCTCCGCTTAACCTCAAAATAACATCGATTAGTAGATTTCCTCTAAATCTTTGTCATGTTATTCAAAAAGTATTTAGTTTAAAATTTTGAAGGTTTATATATATTTTAAAATGTCAATACTTAGTTTTACATTGTTTTAACTCTCATATTGGCCTCAAAAATATTATACACAGACAAATTTAAATATATTCTAGCTGCAACTAACATTAATTTTTTTTGTAAGTGGAGTGATTCAAAATTAGAGATGGACTAAAAACAAAATATTTTACAAGAATCTAATACATAGTGTGTCATATTTACAGCAAATAACATACATTTTGATCTAAAATTAATGATATTTTAGGATTTAGATGGATAATTCTTAGTCGTTGGACCCTCAACCCTTTTTATAACCATACACAAGAACAACTTTGCTACTTGTAACCACCTCTTATATCCACATTTATACCAATCATTATGCCCACTCTCCGAGAGACTATTTTGTTTGTTTGTAAACTCACCTCGTGAGAGACTATTTTTTGTTTGTAAACGTGATTCACACAAGAAAATAATTTCTCACCGGGGTGGGTATGAGAATGGATATAAGGGGTGATTACAAATTTTTCACACAAATGAACAATAGACTCAATAGTATTAGGATGTTTTGTTCTGGTTTTGTCTAATCTAGTTTGGTTTGGTACATGTCTCTGTTTACTTTATAATTACATCCGATTTTGGATTTAATGCACCAAACCACCTCTTGAAATATAAATTCGACGCATTAACCCCTGATTTAAAAAATGCGTCAGACCCCCTGTGTTATCATTAATCATGCGCCAAACCCCTTCCAAGAACAAATTTAATTTCAAAAAAGATGAAAAATGATTAGTTTTTTTGCATACTTTAGAAATTTTGACAAAGTTACTTGCATATTCAATCATATTATTAAAAAAGTGATTTCAAAATTATAAAATTTGTTCTTGAAAGGGATTTTGCTCATGATTAATTAAAAGATATGGACTAATGAGCCTAATTTACCGAAGATAGATTCAGCCAGCCCTGGATTCGTCTGGTAAAACACATTCTCAGCATCAATGAACAGTGATCTCTTCTCAATAAAATGGTTGTAAATTTGTAATTAGGGAGGTAGTATAACAGTGATGCTGTGCAGCTTCATCAATTCTCTTCCGTCAAGCTCGCAATCTCCGATCTGGCGGAGTTTACGCCGTCGAATTAGCTTCATTGCTGCTAATATCACTTCTCCTCTACCGTCTCCGCCGCTGCTCGCAAAGCTTCCTCGCTTCTCTCTCCTTGCTGACCAGTGTACATCAATGCACCAACTAAAGGAAATCCACGCCCAAATGATCATCACCGGCCGTATTCTTGACAACTTTGCCGCCAGCCGTTTATTTTCCTTTGCGGCTCTCTCTCACGCGGGCGACTTGACTTACGCGTTGGAAATTTTCCGAAGCATTCAGCATCCCAACTCATTCATGTGGAACACCCTCATTAGAGCCCAAGCGAGTAGCTCAGAACCACATGAAGCCTTGTCTCTCTACTTATTCATGCGCAGGCTTGGCGTTACCCCAGGTAAACATACCTTCCCTTTTTTACTTAAAGCTTGTTCCAACATGAAGGATTTTTGCGCCACTCAACAGGTTCACACCCATGTGATCAAGTTCGGGTTGCATTTTGATTTGCATGCAGTTAACGGATTGATTCGTGCTTACTCTGTATCTGTTGCTTTGAGCCATGCTCGCAATCTGTTTGATGAGTTTCCTGAAAAACAAACAACAATGTGGACAACGATGATATGTGGGTATGCTCAAAATGATGACAGTTCTGGGGAAGCAGTTAAGTTGTTTGAACTAATGATTTCTATGGGCGTGGAACCCAATGCGGCCACTCTGGCATCTGTGCTATCTGCTTGTGCACAGACCGGTTGTTTGGAAATGGGGAAAGAAATTCATGTATACATGGTGGAGAACGGGATAAGAGTGGGAGTGATCCTAGGTACAGCACTGGTAAATATGTATGCAAAGAATGGGGCAATAGTCCAAGCAACTAAGTGTTTCTTTAATATGACAGAAAAGAACATTGCAACTTGGAATGCAATAATAAGTGGGTTGGGAGCTCATGGATATGTCAAAGAAGCAATTAACCTGTTTGAGAATTTACTAGTGGAAGAAAATTTGAAGCCAAATGATATAACATTAGTAGGGGTATTATCTGCCTGCTGCCATGCAGGATTCTTGGGTTATGGTCGTCGAGTTTTCAACTCCATGAAAGAACTGCATGGAATAGAGCCCAAGCTAGAACACTACAGCTGCTTGGTTGACCTTCTTGGCCGATGTGGAAAGCTGATAGAAGCCGAACTGTTGATTAGAGGAATGGTTTGGAAGGCTGATGTGGTTATTTGGGGGTCTCTGTTGAGATCCTGTCGTTGCCATAGGAATATAGAAATTGCAGAACGAGTGGTGAAGGAGATTCTGCTCTTGGATCCCAACAATCACGGCGTTTATGTTGGTTTATCTAATATGTATGCAGAGTCTGGACGATGGGAGGATGTTTTATGGATAAGAAAGGAAATGAAACATGGTAGTCTGAAGAAAACTTCTGGATGGAGCTATGTTAATAAGTAAAGCTACGTTATCTCAACCAATTTAGGGAATCTGCACTCTTAGCTTAGGACTATCCAGTATTTTCAGATATAAACTCGTGACAAGTCATCAGATGTTAAAATTTTATTGTCAGTGGTTTGCTTTAAAAAAACTCACAATCTCCCATCCAACAAAACCAACTATGAGATCTTCTTGGCAACATTAGTAGGTCATTTGACGCCTTCAGCAGCACTAGAGAAGCTTCATCCATTCTGTCGGGCTTACTCAATGAGTGAGTCTTATCCCTTAATTCCTTCATCAATTTAGCTTGAATATTTGATTTGACCCTGAATGATCCATAGCATTAGGATTTAGGAATGAATTGAAATGGCGACTAATTCATAAAAAGATGTGATGGCAGTGGCCATATTCCAGATTTCTGGTTCATCATTGGATACTTCTATATCTGCAAATTGCAAAACCTTAGCTTTGAGAGTAATTGCCATCGGTAACTGAAACCCATCATTACCTCGGTCTGAGGTGTATCAAACATAGGAGTAGCATAAGAACTCTCATTGCAATTCATATTATGATGGCTCCATGTTATCAAATACTCTGTATTACTCAATATTGTGAACATGAATTGGGTAAGCGTTGAAATGATATAAAAAAACGTATGCATGGTTTAAGAAAAAAATTGAATTGTACAATATACTTATTACCTTGTACTGTGTTGCCGTCTTATATTTAAACTTTCACCTTTTAGGGCCTTTCGTTAAGGAGGCTTTCACTGACAACAAATGTTAATTGTTCTTTAAAGGAAGCTTCATTTTTTTCAGCTTTCCCCTGAGTCCCGACTATATCAGGATATTGAAGGTGATGAAGCACTTGAGTTGCAACCAATGCAAGAAGGGATAATCTCTTCTTAACTATATGCCTTCAAATAGAAAAATGCCAGAACGATCTGGATCTTGTATTTCTGGGATAAAGCATGGTTGTGGAGCTATTGGAAGGTACAAATTTGTCAATGTCAGAGTGTGATGATACACATAAGTTTTCTTTTCATGAATTACAGTGTTAGTTTTTGACATTATAAGTTTTTAAAAGAAGTTGCTTGAATTATATTATTGGTTTTTTCATCATTGTGATTTAAACCAAGAAGTTTACATCTTTTAAGTGCTTTTAGTGTTAGAGTATTTCTTCATACGGTCATCCTATTGAAGATAAGATGCGAGAGTGTCGATGCAGTAGTTTGGCCATATGCTTAGAAGATCGAGTGGTGTACCTGTTAGACGAGTTGAGAGGTGGGGAGAAGAGGGAAAGGTAGAAAAGAGAAAGCTTAGTGAGGTAGCCATTTAAGGTAATTATGAAGCCAACACGATAAAAATGTGATAGGACAAGCTATGTCTTTAAATGCCTAGATGGCAATTGTAGTTGGATGATGCATGCATCAAATATGAAGAACTCATCCAAGTTTGCATTTGAAGATATAACAAGGTTTGTAACTATTCGATTGGAAGTCGCAATAGAACATTCAAGCAAACAACATCAAGACTTGTAGAGGATACAATTTTGTCTTTTCTAAGTGTTCACAAGATATCATAACACCTAGAAGGCACTATGACGAGACTCATGCAGAACAAGAGCATGCCCATAACCTACGCAAAGGCTGGGTTAGGTAGAAAGCATGCTAGTGAAAAACTTTTTGGAGTGCCCAAGGACAGTTACAAGCTATTACCTTTATATTTGCACATGTTAAATAAGTGTAATGATAAGAATGTTATCACACATTTGGACCTTAATAATAATAACCAAAAGTTAAAGTACGTCTTTGTGACACTTGTTGCATGCATCAATGATTTTCTAGCGATGAGGAAGGTTGTTGTCGATGGTACATTCTTAAAGACATCTTATAAAGGCGTCTTACGTATTACAATAGCTGAAGCCGGAGAGTATCATCAATATCCTTTAGCATGGGCTGCCATGGAGTCAGGAAATAATGAATCGTATAATTGATTTTTCAGCCATATGCGAGAGCTCATAGATGATCATGAACATCAGATGTTTATTTCATCTGAGAATAAAAAATGGGATCAGAAAACTTTATTAGTTAACTCATCATTGATATTGTAGGTTCCATCTCTATCTGAACCTCAAAGATCCCTCTACTCCTACCCATCCAACTCCATATACACTCTACTCATTCAACCTCGTACACACTCTACCCATTCGACCCTCTATTACTACCTATTCAACCCTTACTCTCTCTACGCATTCAACCTTCTACACACCCTTCCTAATCGACCTTCTTCTTCTTCTACTACTACTACTACTACTACTACTACTACTCATTCCACCCCTACACACTCTACCCATTCAACCTTCTAACCACTATAACCCTTCGACCCAAAAGATTAATTAATGGTTTTGCGGTCAACAATACAACAACACATCCAAGCCTTAGTCCCAAAAGATATTGGGGTCGACTAACATGAATCGATACATGATATCACAACCAAAAGGAAAAGAAGGAATAAAGTTAAAAAGATAAGCTATTATGAAAAGATAATATAAAAAAGATGAATATATATATATAAATGATAAAATAAAAAGGTTGCAAATAATGCTTATAAATATATATATATATATATATATATATATATATATAAGGATAAAAAAACTACGAAAAAAAAAAGATGAGGGAAAAAAATTATCAAGATCACTCCTTCACGTGAATACCCGCCCTCCACTTAGTTCTCTCCAAAGTCATGCCCTCATCCAACCCCAGAAAAAGCATATCACTTCGAACTCCCCTAATCCACGTCTGTTTGGGTCTTCCTCTCCCTCTCTTCCCTGCCTCTTGTCCACACATCTCAACTCGCCTAACAGGTGCATCACTCGGTCTTCTACGCACATGACCAAACCACCGTAGACGTGACTCCCGCATCTTGTCTTCAATAGGTGCTACTCCCACACTTTGTCTGATTGTCTCATTCCTCACGCGGTCCTTCCTAGTATGCCCACACATCCAACGCAGCATGCGCATCTCTGTCACACTCATCTTATGAATGTGACATTGTTTCACCGCCCAACACTCTACGCCATACAGTAATGCAGGCCTAATTGCTGTCCTATAAAATTTACCCTTCAGTCTAGTCGGCATACCTCGGTCGCATAGAAATCCTGACGCACTCTTCCACTTCATCCACCCTGTTCTGATTCTATGGGATACATCTCCATCTAACTCACCGTCCTTCTGAATTATGGAGCCCAAGTAACGGAACATATCGCTGACCGGTATCTCCTTACCATCCAGAGTAATTCCGCTATTACCACTACTTCTACCTCCACCAAACTTGCACTCCATGTACTCTGTCTTGCTCCGACTTAGTTTGAAACCCTTATTCTCCAATGTTTGTCGCCATACTTCCAACTTTGCTTTAAGACCTGATTGCGTCTCATCAATCAATACAATATCGTCGGCAAACATCATGCACCACGGTATATCGTCTTGAATTGACTTCGTAAGTTCATCCATGACTATGGCAAATAAGAAAGGACTCAAGGCCGATCCTTGGTGCACTCCGATAGTAATAGGGAACTCTTCAGTCCTCCCTACACTAGTACGAACACTTGTAGTACAATCCTCATACATATCCATGATGATGCTGATATACTTGCGTGATATGCCTTTCCTAGTTAAGGCCCACCAAAGAACTTCTCGAGGTACCCTATCATATGCCTTTTCTAAGTCAATGAACACCAAATGCAGATCCTTATGAACATCTCTATACTTCTCCATAAGTTGTCGAAGAAGGTGAATGGCCTCAGTTGTTGAGCGACCAGGCATAAAACCGAATTGATTTTCTGAAATCTTCACAGTCCTTCGAAGTCTTTGCTCAATCACTCGCTCCCAAAGTTTCATGGTGTGACTCATAAGCTTAATCCCTCGATAGTTGGCACATTCTTGTACATCACCTTTATTCTTAAATAAGGGGATAAGAGTACTCTTCCTCCAACTCGTTGGCATCTTGTTGTTTCTCCAAATCATGTTGAAGAAACTTGTTAACCACTCGACGCCTCTCTCTCCCAAACTTCTCCAAGCCTCGATCGGTATGCCATCTGGCCCCATTGCTCTTTTCCGTCCCATCTTCCTCAGAGCTTCTTTAACTTCCGTTGTTTGGATCCTTCTCACAAAATCACGGTTTACCATACAATCTGGTATGGACAAATCGCCGATATCTTGCGTTTTGTTCCCGTTGAATAGTGTATCAAAGTATGACCTCCACCTTTCTTTTATCTCTCCGTCGTCCATTAATATCCTCTGATCAACATCCTTCACACACTTAACTTTTGCAATATCTTGAGTTCTGCGGTCAACAATGTAGTGCTAAAATAAAACTAGCTAGAAGATGCCAAGGTCGCTTCCGTGAACTCATTTTGGCACGTGTTCCATTCCCTCATCATCCTCTTAGGCCTTGGCCATACCTTTAGTATCTGTACATGTAAAGAAAGAAAATTGATAAACTTTACGCTTAGTAAGTCACTATGGATCCACACAAATATTTGAGAAGTGTTTGCTAATTTATCAATATATAAATTTATGCTCATTTAACAAATAACTGAAAAAAAACTTCTCAAATAGTTTCTGAAGAGATCTCAAAAGAAAACACTTTTCTTAAAATATTTTTCAAACTACTGGAGAGATCTCAAAATTTATTGCTTAAATAACTCTGAAATAACTTCTGAAGAGATCTCAAAATACTTTTTTAAAAAATTCCTGTAAAAACTTTCTGAAAGAGATCTCAATAAATCTTTTGTAAAACTCTTTGTGACTAATTTTAACTGTTGACCCATGATATGTACTCAATGGTGCCAATTCGACGGCTTAGGAGAGTGACCTACTAAACATATCCATGGTAGTCGATGGCGCAATATGGCGCACGCGCCATGCGCCATGTGGCGCGTAAAACCCTATGCGCTATGAAAAGGGGCTGTGGCGAGGTGTATACACATGGCGTCGTGAGAAGTTAAAGCTGCTGCAACGCAAGAAAAGCTCTGTGACAACCGACAGAAAGGCAAACGACAAGGGGATTCTCGTGGACTTCTTCCAACTACAAAAGGTACTACTACCTCTTTAATGCTGTGTATTAATGAAGAAAAGTTCAGTTAATGCTGTGTACTAAACTTTAATGTGAATGGTCTAAACTTAAATGTGCATGCCTGCATGGATTAACTAAAACAGAGACTTTCTATGGTATATAATTTATGTAAAGTTTAAACTTAAAGATAAAGTGTTTATGAATGTATAACATAAAGTTAATTAAAGTTTAAACTTTATATTTTGAGTTTAAACTAAACTTTACACTGTAAGATGCTTTAATAGTTTGCTTTATGTGTAATTGTCTATCAATTTATAATAGTTGAGAGTTGAGATTTTAAATACTCATACTGTTGGCAGAGGTAACATTGATCATTTTTATTTTAATTTACATTAGATGATGGCATGATGCTCATTGATATTTTTTTATCTTAGGTAATCGAAGAGGCAGAGCAAAGGATGTCAGTTGCCTTTGCTAAGGAGCTCTGTCAGAAAGTGAAAGAAAACAACAACAATGAATTGCGCTGCAACTACTGTGGGCACGTAACGAAAGGTGAAATTACAAGATTTAAACAACACTTGACCGGGAAGCACCGCAACACAACACAGTGTGAACGCATTCCCGCTGATAAGAAGGCTGAACTGCAGGCGTTAGTCTTGAAAGAATCTGCTGCTAACTTAGAAAAAAATGTGTGTGAACAAACCTTTCGAAGTACATACACAGTACAACAGTCCGGTGGGTCAAGTGCAAATAGGGTGATTGGAGATGATGATGTTGAGATAACTGGTTCTCAGTCAAATGCAGAGGGAGGTGGTGTGACTGGGCCTATGGATAATTTCGTATATCCAACAAAAAAACGTAAGAAGGAGGCATTGACGCAAACAACAATCCCATCACACATGAAGAAAAAAGAGAGGGATGAGTATGCTCAAAGCCTTTGTTCGTGGATGTACAGGAACTGCATCGCCTTTAATGTAGCTCGTGACCCTTTGTGGAAAGAAACACTAGAAAAGATTGGCAGGTTTGGAGCTGGGTTTAAAGCACCAACGTATCATGAAGTGAGAGAGACGTTCTTGCGAAAAGAGGTCGCAAAAACAGATCTTGTGGTTAGTGAGCACAAAAATATATGGGAATTAGATGGCTGCACTATTATGTCAGATGGGTGGCAGGATAAACGGCACAAAACTCTAGTGAACTTTTGCGTGAATTCTAGCAAAGGGACGGTGTTTATGAAAGCCGTAGATGCTTCATCTTACAAGAAGACCGGGGAAGCACTTTTCAAGCTTTTCGATGAGTGGATAAAAGAAATAGGTCCTCAAAGTGTCATACAAGTTGTAACCGACAATGCTAAAAATTATGGATTAGCGAAGAGGAAGATAGAACAAAGATATCCACATATCTTCACGACGGGGTGTGCAACTCATTGTCTTGACCTTGTTCTAGAAGACTTTCCAAAGAAGATGCCGATAGTTAGAAGAACTGTGAAGACGGCACAAGGGATTACTACCTAAATCTACAGCCATACCCTTATTCATGACTTAATGAAAGAATTTACCAAGGGTAGAGAGTTAGTTAGACCAGCTGCCACACGGTTTGCCACTAACTTTCTGACTCTTCAAAGTCTTCTCACGCAGAAACAGGCATGGAGGCAGATGTTTGCTTCACCGAAATGGTTTCAAAGTGAGTTTGCAAAAACTACGGAAGGTCAATCTTGTTTTGAGTCGATTTATCGTCAAAGCTTTTGGAGGAGTGTTGCCTATGTTATGAAGATTTCATTGCCAGTAGTGAAGGTATTGAGAATTACGGATGAAGAGTTGCCTCCAATGGGATTTATTTATGAGGCTATGGAGAGAGCAAAATTGGGAATAAAAAACACATTGGGAGGTAAAGAAGAGAAATACATGCCTCTTTGGAAGATAATAGATAAGCGTTGGAATGAGAACCTGCATTCTCCATTACATGCAGCGGGGTATTATCTCAATCCGCAATTCTTCTACCCTAATTCACGGCGAATCCTCGGAGATGAAGAAGTATGCGATGGTTTTATAAAATGTGTGGAGAAGATGTTGCCCACTAGCATTGGAGAGAGTGTAGAGTTCTCAACTGAGATATCAAACTATACAAATGGTAGAGGAAGTTTCGGAACTAAAATGGCAATGAACAATAGGGACAAACAACCACCGGGTATGCAAACTGTAATCTGTCTTCTCTTTCTTATTTAAGTATTTTAATTAACTTTCTGCTAGAACTAATTTTGTAGGTTTATAGATACTGGATTTAAACTTTTTGGAAACTGGAAAGTCCTAAACTGCAACCTACTATCCTACAACCTACTGTCTGGATAATGGAATCTGAAAACCTTAAATCTGAATATTTTAAGCATGAATGTATGATTACTTGATTAGTAAATTATTTTAAGTACCAAATGTGAGTGACTAAGTGTCAAATGATGGCTAGCACTTGCTGTAGCCTGTAATTGACTGCAAAATTGGAATGGAAAGCTGAAATTTTAAATCCTGAAATCTGAGTATTGTTTTCTACATTATTAATTAGCATTTGGCTGGAATTTTTAAATATAGTTGACTGGTGGCTTTCAAATGGCTCCTCGTCTCCTACATTGCAACATCTTGCTGTTCGGATCCTTAGTTTAACTTGCAGTGCTTCTGGATGTGAACGAAACTGGAGTGCTTTTGAAAATGTAAGTTCATAAATCTGCCTTTCATATTTAATTCAACTATTTAAGTTATCCGTAGTTGATTTGTTATCTACTTGTTTTAGGTTCAAAGCAAGAAAAGGACAAGGTTGCTGCAAAAAAAAATGAATGATTTGGTATACATTCGGCAGAATCAACGTCTTCAAGATCCAGCTTTCAAAAAAATGAAAGTATGTTTGGATGACATTGACGATTGCAATGAATGGATTGATGAAGCTGCTGAGCAAAATGAAATGGAAAACTGGGATGTAGTGGAAGAAGTTGTTGGTGTTAACGAAGCAAATCACAACACAAGAGCAACAACATCAAGGGCATCAACACTTCAGCTGCACGACGAAGAGGAGACAGAGGAGGCGGAGGAAATGGAGGAAACGGACGAGGTTGCAGATCCCTCCGAGGATGAAATGAATGAGAATGGTGTGCCATTGCTATCAGATTCAGACGAAGATGATGAGGAGTCTGATGATTGATGATGATTATGCCATAATCATCAAACAAAAACAAGCTAACAAGCCTAAATCCTAACATATTTTGCAAGACAGAAACTTTTTTTTTGAATATTATGTTTTTTGGAAGTACTTTGAACTATTTTATCATGTTTTGGTGGTTGGGTAAACTTGGGTAAACTTGAACTATTATTCGTTTTGAATGTTTTTTTTTGTCACGTGGCGACGCCATATTTGCGCCATCGCCATCGCCATCGCCATGGAAAATGACCTGTGCGCCATGGGTTGCGCCATGCGCCATGACAACTATGAACATATCAGACTTTGAAAACTGATAAATTTGTGGGAACTTGTTCCCGAGTACGTATCACCTAATCTTTCACTTAAAATATTAGTTTTTACAGTGCCTTTTGACTAAAAACATCGTTAAATCTTAAAATAAAAGTACTGACAAAATTTTGACTATGTCAGATAATAAATCTAACTTAATACAACGAATAAATAACTCTCATCAAATAATTCACCAAGCTCACATAATAGCAAATAGTCTAAAATCATCTATTAAAAATCAACCATACTTCTTTATTCTCATTTGATTGAACAAACATGTACAAGTGAAAGATTTAACGATGTTTTTAGTCAAAAGTCACTATAAAAATCGATTTTGTAAGCAAAATTTTGTAAGCACTTTTATTTTAAGATTTTGCTACAACCATACTTCTAGCACAGTCAAAATTTTGTAAGCACTTTTGTTTTAAGATTTAACGATATTTTTAGTCAAAAGTCACCATAAAAAGAATTAATATTTAAAGTGAAAGATTAGGTGATACGTACTTAGAAACAAGTTTCCACAGATTTATCAGTTTTTTTTTAGAATCCGATATGCTTAGTAGATCGCTTCCCTGAGCTGTCGGGTTGGCGCCATTGAGTACATATCACGAGCCCGTGGTTAAAATTAGCCCCAAAAAGTTTTACAGAAGATGTATTGAGATCTCATTAAGAATGTTTTTTACATAAATTTGTTAAGAATTTTTTTTTGAGATCGCTTCAGGAGTTACTTTAACAAGAAATTTTGAGATCTCTCCAGCAGTTTGAGAAACTATTTTAGAAAAGTATTTCCTTTTGAGATCTCTTTAGAAACTATTTGAGAAGTTATTTTTCAGTTATTTGTTAAGTGCATGCCATAGTGACTTACTAAACGTAAAGTTTATTAGTTTTCTTTCTTCGCAAGTACATATACTAAGGGTAAGGCCAAGACCTAGATGAATGATGAGGGAGTGAAACGAGTGCTAAAATGAGTTCACGAGAGCGACCTTGACATCTTCTAGCTAGTTTTATTTTACTATTTCAGTTTTCTACTATTGATTGTTATTATTATTTTAATTGGTGTTTTATTTTTGAGGATTTGAATTTTGAGTAAATTCTTGGATCCAGGTGGTTATCACATTTACGGGCGATAACTAGATTTTATGAAATTTCTATTTGAAATTATTTTAGCTACTTTTGAGATCTTAAACAAATGACCTTTATATTGCAGTTTATTTTTAAAAGTAGTAAGTTAGTGTAACATTTCCTTTAACCCTGAGAGATGCATTACATGGTTCGAAAATCATTGGGCCAAATCTTTGCTTATTTGAAACAGTCTTCTTCATCTCCCAAATTGATGTCAGACTCTGAAGAGTTTGAGGCACTGGTGGCTGAGGATGATGAGGCCTTACTTTTGAGAAGTTGGGACATTACATCGAAGTACTGATTTTCATCTTTTGTTGCGGCTAATTGTGTTTGTGCAAATGGTTTTTGCGCCAAGAATTGTGTTGTTGGGTGCGCATTTTGCAAGCGTTGTTGTTGGAGCCATGTAGAAACGGCTTGTTTCTTGGTGCTTGATGAAATAGAGTTTTGTCCACCATTTGATTTCGAATCTTGAGACTAGAATGGTTTGAGTTTCTTTTTGCTGATTTTTAAAGTATCACGCTAGTACCCATGGTAAAAAAAAATTGTAGAGAAAGGCTAAAAAGATAGCGAAGTATGGTTAACTCTTTGGTTTTGTACAAGGAAAGGCATTGGACTAGGGTTGTTGGTAGTCACAATATGTGAAGGTCCTACAACGGCTAATTGTAGTTTTGAAATTGAGTGAGAATTGTTTTGGTGTATGAAGGTTTGTTTCTCAATCTGAGGGTGAGATGATTTTGTGGATTTTTGCGGTGGGGTAGGCTACTGGGCCGTCTTTGTGTCGTCTTGGATAAATCCATGGACGAAAAAACCAATCTTCTTGGAATTTTTTAAAATTGCGAATTGAGATTTTTTATTGTAAAAGGTTGATATCTATTGGCCAAACATTTTGAAATTCAGTTTTGATGAAATACTCATATTGTAATTTGAAGTTTGTCAAAGTAATCTAGGATTCATTTTGGATTAAAACTCATCATCATTACCCTAGCGCCGCAAAGGCTCCCACCTACGGTGGGATTAAGAGGGTCAGATGTACGCAATCTTACTCCTGTACTAAAGCACAAAAAGACCGTTTTTGGATGATCCATGGTGAAAAGCGCGTTGAAAGTTGCATGGACTGACCGATGCTTCATTACAAAGAAGCGCGGACAGTTTAGTGAGTCATTTTGTATTATTCCATCATATTCCCAAGCCAAAAAATAGTGAGTCATTGACTCCATTGAAAATGATGAAAATGTTTTGAATTAGAACTATTTTTGAAAATTCCTTTTGTTGAGGTTTTGAAATGATTTTGCACTGTGAATTCTCCAATGAAGGTTTTGATAGAATAGTTTTGGGAGGGGTTTTAGATGATGAAGACCTCTTTCCCTGAATTTTGAAAAAGTGTGAGTCCTTTGGAAAGATAATCAATTTCATGCTGGAGTTTTTGCAGTGCCATAATCTTTTGTAGGCCAAGTTTTTCTTCTGCTACTGAAGCTTCTAGTGCTTCAATGTTTTGTGGTTTTGTAACTTGATGGTTGGCAAGTCATTCCTGTATTTGGCTTTGGATTCCATCATCTTCTTCAATGGCTTGTGCCCATGTTCTGATCAGTTTTGCAGAAGAAATGAGTTTTGGTGTTTCTTCCTCTTTACTTCTGGTTCTTCCAAGCATCATTCAAGTTGTGTTTTGGAGAAACTCTGTGGTTAGAAAGTCTGGAATTGAGTTTTGATCTCCTTTAATAAATTCAATATAGAAAATAGGAAGTATTGTTTGCCATCTGGAAGCAATGTTTTGTACTGCTTTAGCATATTTACATCAATACAGAGTAAAATTTTTTGATTAAGCAAGTCATTTTGAAATTTTGTAACGCACATGACCAGTGAAAGAATTTCTTTTTTAATAGTAGAATATTTCTTTTGACAATCATTCTGGTGTGCAGATGTAAATTGAACATTGTATTCTTTTCCATTTGTATTTTGTTTTAGAATATCTCCAATTCTCCATAGCCTATATCGGATGCATCTGTCTCAATGACCTTTTGGGCCAATGGGTCAGCTAGATGTAGACAAGGTACTTTGTTTACTTGTTTTTTGATTAGTTGGACTATACTTGTATGTTCCTCTATCCAGGCAACATGTGTTTTCTTTAGTCTATCATGAAGAGCTTTGCTATTCCATTTATATTAGGACAAAAATGTAACACACAATTTAAGCTGCTAAAAAATCTTTGCAATTGTGTTTTATCGAGAATTTTGTCAGGAAGTTTGCCTGGAAATTCTAGTGATCTTTCATAGAAAATAGGTCTTGGTTTGAAAAAGAGATTTTTTTTTTTTATATTTTTAAACTATTAATCCATTTTTCCTAGCCACAACAAAAAATATTTTGAGGTATTTGAAATGTTCTTGAATTGGTTGAGAAAAATTAAAATGTCATAAATATAGACAATACAGAATTTTGTAAATGGTTAAAGGTTTCATTCATGGATTTAAGGTTTCATTCATGATTCAGAATTTTGTCCGTTCTTATTACCAAAAGGAACGGTAAATGCGGTTTTGTATTGATCCTTAGGATCAATGTGGATTTACCAAAATCCCGATTTCTAGTCAAAATTTGAAAATACAAATGCAAAATTGATTTTTTGTAAGAGATCTTTTTAGTTTGGTAGGATATCGAATCCATTTTAATGCTTGGTGATGGATAAGAGTACCCGAGGGTATATATCCGAGGGGTTATTGCGGGGAGTAACTAGAGAGAAGTTAGAGCAAACTAATAAGAGAGAGAATATGTATTCAGTGTGAACTCAGCGTATTCAGAATATGGTTTACAAAGGGGAAATGATGTGCTATTTATAGTAGAAATAAATGCGAGACGGGGACACGTGTCAAGCATCCAACGGCCGAGGGGTCACATCAACCGGGTGTCACTGTCATTCGCATGTGGCCGCAATTAATGCGGCGGTTGGATGTGACGTTGTACTTGGTACGGCGATCCAGGCGCATGTGGAGAGGATATTCTTGTCGAGGAAGGTACCCTCGGCTGTAGATGATTAGCCGAGGGCTCTTCTTGTCGAAGGCCCCTTAAGGCCGAGGGCTCCAGGTGCCGAGGGCTACTGATTTTCGCCGTTTTCTCCCAGTAGCTTTGTATGCTAAAACTAGCCTTTCTGTGAGAATTTGGAGCCTTCGGCCAGGGGGCCGAAGGCACCCCTGTGTGCTCCATGGGTTGCTTGGTACCCGGGGCGCTGCGATTTGGGCCTGCTGTGCTTCCTGGGCCTCTTGGGCTTTTATTAGGATAGTAGGAGTCTATGGGCCGGGGGTCCCTGGGCCATATACTCCATCAGGAGTCCCTCACTCCTTTTGCCGAAAGGTACTTGAGGGAAAAAGAGTAATTTGTGCTTGTCCTCTGCCGTTGTTCCGTTGTAGCTTGTAAAGTTGTGAGGAGTTCTCTGTTTGAAAGTTTTTGCCGAAGGCAGTTCCTCAGTCCCCCACATTTTGGGGCTCGAAGGGTTGTGTTGCTACTTTGGAGAGTTTTTGATATTTTGAGATTTTCCCGAAGGGGTTCTCCAGTCCCCCACTCCTTGAGGCACTTGTGAAGTGGTGAAAAGGAGTAGAGTACTGCCTGCTGTTGTAGGTGGCCGAAGGTTGACACTTTTCGTTTCATTTTGGGGGGATGCCTCGTTAAAAACCCCATTAGAAAAAACCCTGTGAGAAAAAAATCTAATGAGGAAAAAAGAGTGCACCAAATTCCCCCA